TGGAAAATTCAGTATTTTGAAGGCCTTAGCATTTTCTCAAGAATCAATTGTTCCTCCAGGGTTACTAACAGCTTTGGCAATCTGCTACTCTTTTGACTGCAATAGTATCAATCTATGCACATAGGACAAGTCATTGTTTTGATTAAAACTGCTTTTTCATTGCTAAATTTTGGTCAAAAAATCATTTTTATGTCAGAAACTAGGTCAGTGTAATAGATCACACATTTTAGGTGGGGCAGTCCTGGGAGTTCTATACAAAAATGTCATAAGTCAATGACTGAAGACCTTTCTGTATATTGGCAGCCCATAAAACAACTAACCATTTTAGCTGTTTATGTAGTTGGAAGCTGTTCACATCAGTGTGATAGGGCAGAATAATTTAATCTTAATTTTAAAACATGTGTCTTTTAAACAGCACAAGACAAGTATTGTAAACATCAAAGAAACACATATCTAACAGTAGTATTGTTCATAAGGTTCAGTAGACTGAAAGTGGGTCAAGTTGCATATTAAATAAATATTATTTCAAACATAATCCAAAGGCTTGTTAGTATTTTTCATATTGTGTCTTCAGTCTGACAATGCTCAGGTTGTGGGGACATTTTGATAATTACCATGATATTTTATATATAAACTTCCTTGTACAACTCAGTATCATAAAAAGCAGCTAGCTGGTAAGACAATTTTCCTGACATATCACCAGGACAGAGAGTTTGAAACATTTGCAGAAGTGAATAGTATGTTGGTCCGGCCCACTTTCCTTCAACTGGTCCTTGCGTAACATGTGCAGAAGATGTACAAGCTTAAAGCAACTGATAGGAGTTTTTACAGCCAAATATTATGCCCTTCCGTCTATTATCCTATAAAGCAATGTACAGATCAATAGTAATTACAGCATTAATATCTACCTTATCTTCAGAAATTCTGTATTTACAGGATTATTCATAATTCCCTGACACATTACAAAAAATCTCCAGACTTGAATGGCGCAAAGTATGGTAACATGTGACACGCTGATAGAAAGAGAAACTCTCAGAGTTTGCAGCAGCACTTGGAGGAAGACGGTTTCACTCAAAAACTGATTTTGAGTAATGAAGCTATTTTTCATGTTTATGGGAAGGTGAACAGACACAATGTGCGGGTATTGGGAAGTGAAAAACCACATGCCACAATTGAGCACATTTGGGATTCACTGAAACTGAACTTTTTCTGTGCCATATCCAAAGAGAAGGTGTGAGGGCCATTCTTCTTCGCCGAGGCAACCGTCACTGTCACGTCCTATCTTGAGATAATGCAGGAATGGCTAATGCCACAGCTCCATGATCATAGCGATGACTTCAATTATCAGCATCCAATAGCTGCCATCTCACAAATCGACCGTGACATGCTGCAGTGGGTATGGGCGGAAAAGGATTATCGGCTTGAGTCTGCCGCGTCACAAAGGGCGGACACATAGAACATTTATGAGGCACGTAAAATAAACTTGGAGCGTTCCTCTTTCTATCGGCATGTCATATGTTACCATCCATTTCACCACTCAAGACTAACAATTTTTTGTAATGTGTCAGGAAATTATGAATAACCATATATTATATACTTGGAAAGAAAACATTTCATGTAGTACAGTATTTAAAATGAAATGATGTGTGCCCAAATTCATACGTCACAGTTTTTAGTAATAGCCTGCCATGTCAAATGTTATTAAACCTACCTAATTTTTAGGAAACCAAAATGTGAAATAACAAATTAATGGGCAGACAAATGAATGAACAAAGAAGTAGTCTATCTTGTTGTTAAGCATAGAAGCATACTGAACAATTAAACACATATCAGTAAGCCCAACCGCACCATTTCCATCAATCACAAATGACCAATTATCTTTCATGACAACATCAACAATTCAGTCTATGTATACTGCATAATTAATGCTATAAGTTAGAAACAAATAAAATTCACTGTTTAAAATAAATATTAACCACTGCAAAAAGTAATGATATAAACACATATTCAGTCAACAGAGAAATCCATTTCTACAGAGTTTGAGAAGTTTAAAGACAAAAGCTGGAATTTGTATGGTCATGTTATGTGGACATTGCAGCAATGTTGTGTTAGGTGTAATCATCAAACTGTGCTCATGTCTAGTACTGTATTTTACCTCTTCCTCTGGTTTCTTAGTGTCCGTGACAACTTTTCTCTCAATGACCTCCTGTTGGTGTGAAAAAGATTTGATAAAATTGTGTTAAGGTGTGAAGGAACACATTTAAAAAAAATAAAAAAGTCAGTTTTTAAATAAAAATCTAAAAATAACTCATAATCTCAAAAAGTTTCTCAAAAATTATCTTCAATATCTTACGGCATGAAATTTTGTAATGAGTTTCTTTTATTTAAACAGTATGACAGATTATTTAGCCAAAATTGGGAATAGGCCCACTATATGTAACAAAGAGTTTCAAGAGAATTATGCAACAAACTACTCACAAGACGTAATGCCATGATGTCACATAACCAAGTTATAAATAAAGAAATGTAATCATATTTTTAGATAGTGTGTGATAGGGGTGCAGTAACTTAAGAAAGAATTATGTATGGGGAAGAAAATTAAGTATATTTTGCTTCCTCCAAATCAGCACCTATTATTAATATATTAGTTCTTTGTTAAGTGAGGCACTGTTCCAGAGCAGAATTCCTTTGAAATATAAATCTTAGATTTGCATACAAAAATTGTTTAGATACTTAGCTCATTTAAAACCACATAAATAAAGTCCTTGCCAAATTGCCATTCCTTTCAGATGATTATCACTGCTTATTCAGTATGATTTTAATCGTTACAAAAATACTGCAGGGTATGTTAAATATAAATCATAATATACACTGCTATTAACATGTCCAAACAGTTCAGAACACAGTAGTATACTGGCAATGTGACATTATAGCATTCAAGAACTCAAGGACTACGTGAAGTGCTCAGTTTAACCTTTAAAGTACCAGGCTTTTAAATTGTGGTATCCCCTGCTGACCCAATTTCAATCTCACAATTATGCTATGCTGTGCATGTTTTTTAATAAAACAATACATCTTTCTTAAAAACCCACATGCAACAATGAAATAAATTACTTATTGTTCAGAAGAGTTCACTTCACCACTTGGACATTACTAATGTATTCCCCTTCGAATATTAACACATCATGTAAACATGTCTTTTCCCTCAGACACACAAAGATAGGTTCATCCAACGTTTCTCCCCCATAAGGCTGGGGCCACACGACTGTACAAAGTATGTCCATTGTAACGCACATCGTGACGTCTGTCATAGAATTATGAAGGGGCATATAGGGTACAACACATGTTTGAGGGTCAGTTTTGCTTGGTACAGTATCCAACACAGAAATGCACAGACCAACACCAGGCACATAGTGTAAACTTATTGCTTAGTGTTTCATGTGCTTTTTCTCTAGATGGGACAATTGGCATGATGTTGGGCTTGGTCTTCATAATAAATTTAGTTTCATAAATAAGAAAACTACTGCAAATACACAATGGACGTCTGACCATAACTACAGACAACACATCAATGATAAGCATATGATCAAATGAACCGCAAAGTCAGAGCATGCACATATTAGCATGCCAGTAAATTACATGAACCCTTCTAGAAATTTTTGGTTCAGCAAAACCCAAAATTAAACAAGAAAATTACTAACAAAAGTATTTCATTGCTTTTAATTCCTAAATAAAGCATACAATTGTGTCTTCAGAACTAAGCTGTAAAACTGATGATAAACCCAACCTACAAATAAATAAAAAAATTATATTGAAATGTTTCAGGACCATTTATCAGTGCGAAATCAGTAGTTCAGTTGTGCCCTTTCAGATCAAGTTACTGAAACATTTAACAGCCTTATGCTTAAAGTTTATTTGAATGTTACAGAGTGCAGCCAAAAATAATAAGATAATTCCTACTTAAAAATTTTACTTGCTGATTGTTAAGGAAAACTGTGCAAAAATATTTGAAATAGAAAGAAAAGGGGCCTTTTTGACAAAAAGTTTATGAAGGTTACAGGGTCAACCTTCTAAAGTACACTGACATGGTTTTCGTCAATCAGAATGTAATGATCATAAAGCCATGTTACATGATGTGATGTGTGCTGTGTCCTAAGAAACACCAGTACCATTTCTTAAAAGACATGCTAGGCCTTTAAAGGTTAATAAGTATATTTTGGGTAAAAATATTACAAAATATGGACATACAAAAATATAAAACAGCAGATAAACTGTCCAAAAATGAAAATATATAGAACATAAATTGTGATAATGGAGTAAAAAAATTAATAT